GAATGATACAACATGCTTCAACTTATTTACTTTACGCGTGCCATTAAAATGTTTGTTTTCCAAACCGGACAACTTTCACGCACTACATGAGGATCCCAACTCACTTGTTTCGTTGAAAGATGACATCAGATACTTGAGACAGTGCGTTTTGGCGAGCTGCCCGGGAGAGAGGACACCGACTTATGCACACATGCAGAACATATTTCACACAGTGCAATACACAACACTGTATCAATGCCTTCCACCGGCTAGCCGTTCCCATCGCGTCCTCTGTTGCAGCACAGCTGCCTGAGGAGTGGCGGGCACCTTGCCTCCTGCTCAGTGCATCTGGGCTGTAATGCCCCCCCACCCCACATCCACATGTGCTAGTATATTTGAGTTGCTGTACAATGTATTCATGTGTGCTCATTCGTGGAAGTTTTTCTTTTTTTCTAAATCCATACTGTGCTCCCCTACAGGAGTTTAGTCTGGGGCTGTTTTGTGTTTTCCTCCCCCTTCCTCATGGTTTGTTGTCTTTTCATACAAGTTCTGTTCTGTAGCCCCCGTGATGATAATTGTTGTTTTTTTCCTCTCTTGAACAGGTTGTGTCCATTCTATTTCCTTGTGGTACAATGCCAATAAATCTATTCTGATTCATTGACCTGAGCAAAACAAACAACAACAAAAAAAAAAACAACCCAAAAAACCCCAATGACTGGATGAGTTCAGCGATTAATGGGAAGACAGGTTATCAAAAAAAATTGATCTCTCCGCAGGAACCCTGTTTTTTTTTTGGTTTGACTTTTACCAGCTCTCAAAAAGTATGGCCTTTCAGTTTCACGTATTAAGGTGTATTAAGAGTATTTTCTTGCTTTGTGCAGCATAATTGTTGTACAGGAGCCGGTCTCGGTGGGTGCTTTTTCAAGTCATATAACTATGCACTTTCGACTTGATATGCAAAGCATGTGTAGGCGGGATCAAACTGATGCGAAGTGAGTCACTGACTGGCTGGAATGAAACAGAACAAAGCAAAATTCTTTTTTGGAAGTGGAAAGGAGAAAGGTGATATTACAAATTTAAAGGCCATGTAGAAATTGGGGGGGGGGGGTAAAGCCAAAACAACAAGAAAGAAAGGCGGAGAGACAGGATTGAAATCCAGAGTGAATAAATCAACCTTTGAATTGGATATGAAAGAGAGAAGCATGCTGGGGAATACAAAAAAAAAAAAAAAAAAACTGGACCAAAGCGTTTATTTACACTCTGCATCCCTATTAAGTCAAATAGGCTACTTTAATGGGCTTGACATTTGAGTATAATTATCTACGGAAAAGCTCCAGTAAGTGTCCTGCAGGGTGTGTGCTAACTGCAGGTGAGTGCTCATACATGCCGAATCTCACGTGCGCGTGAGGCTTCGAGCAACGCCAGTTTGGGTCAGGAGCCGCGCACGAAACGCATGCGTTTGCTCACTTTCCTTTCGCGCCGTCATCCCGTCTGTCTCTACGCTGCACTTTGTCTTAACACAACAATCTGGAAGCCTTCATCCGGCCTGTGAACATTAACGGGCAGTTGGTCTAAAGAAGTGGGCGGCTATCGCTGCGAGGCAGAGGAGGAGGAGGGCAAGTGGTTGAGATGAAGAGCGGAGGAAAAGAAGAAATGGAGGTTGTGTGCCAGGAGTGGAAAGTGATTAGCGTGAAGGGTCCAACAGAAGTCTGTGTGTGTGTGTGTGTGTGTGTGTGTGTGTGTGTGGAATGCAACCCTTTGGAGCACAAGCAGGGAAACTCCCTCTGCGGTTTGAACATCTTCAGCATTTTTTTTTTTAATGTTTGAGAGTTTATTGCTTACTGCTTTTGAGATGTGTTTGTGTGGTGTACTCAAGATGACCAAACCATAGCACAGCGTACACGAGGGATTGAACAACTAAAACATGGAACACGTTTGTTGATATGCCACGACGGACCTGTGTGCGGTAGCAGGGTGCCAAGGGGTATTTGAACTGCTGAAAAATACAAAGGAAAAGAAAGAGTAGTCGTAGATGAGGGCAGTGAAGAAGCAAGGCTATCTGTTAGCTTGTTGCAGTTGAAAACTGGGAGACATCCAACAAGGACTGGAGTGCTTCCTGATTGGCAGACCAACTGAGATCGTAAATGGTGACCAGCTTTAACATTTACAATGATTGGCCCAACTATCTGCCATGTAAACTGGGGAGGAGAGAAAAAAAACAACTCCGCCCCCCACCCCACACACACCATAATCACTTTGAACAGTGAATCCCCACCGCTGCGTCTTGAGACCACAACCACTTGCACTCACAATCAAACCTAAGGAAAATGAAGAGTGGTCCATTGACCGACTGTGCAGGTTTTTTTTTTTTTTTTTAATGTGGTAGGAAACTGGATTACCCAGAGAAAACCCACGCAGGCACGGGTAGAGCATGCAAACTCCACACAGGAACGTAGGGGCCGGAATCGAACTTCGGACCTCTGGCCTGTGAAGCAGACGTGCTCACCAGTCAATCATCGTGCCGCCCTTGAAATCATAATTTCAGTGTACTGGATCCATCCATCCATCCATCCATTTTCGCGGTGGGTGGGTGCCGGAGCCTATCCCAGCCGCCTTCGGGCAGTAGGTGGGGGACACCCTGAACCGGTTGCCAGCCAATTGCAGGGTACACAGAGACGAACAACCATCCACCCTCACACTCACGGACAATTTAGAGTGTCCAATCAGCCTGCCTTGCATGTTTTTGGAATGTGGCAGGAAACCAGAGTACCCGGAGAAAACCCACGCAGGCCCAGGGAGAACATGCAAACTCCACACAGGGAGGCCGGAGCTGCATACTGGATCCATTTGGTGACATTTTTTACTTCATTTGTTGCATTTTTTTTTAACGAGGTTAGATTTTTCTAGTATAAAACGGGAAACTCTTATTTATGATAGTCCTACAGAAAAACCCAATAATCTGGCTTTTGATCAAAAAGGAGTAAAAGATGCTTAAATATGGCCTCACCGTCAGGATGCATGTACCTCACTGACCAAAGGCCCACGACGGAGAGGATGAAACTCAATCCACGCCAGGTGAAAATCATTTCTCACGCTTTATGTTTTGCTGTGGGCGTGTTCTATCGAAATGAACTTGCACTGTTTGTGTGTCTTAGCGAGGCGAAATGTCTACGTCAGAGTGTCTGGATAACAGCTGAGCTCTCATGGGATGCACGTGTATACAGTACGTGTATGTGCGAGTGTAGGCTTTATGGCACAACGCGAAGCAGATCACCTATTGAAAAGATCCATTAAATACACATCACTGCACCGTCGCCCAAAATGTGAGCGTGCATGAAAAATAAGCTTGTATAATTGGACACATGGAACAGCTTTTCCCATCCCCATAAAGGCAGCCAACAGGCAGAGAGGATAAATGCTTGGATGTTCAAATGGAGGCAGCGGGGTTAAAATCTTTCACCCTCACAATTTGTAGTGAGATTAAAAAGTTACTGATCTGTTAAATTAAATCTATGGACAGGGAATAAAGTTTTATATTTCCCCATACAGAAGAAAGGAGACAAAATGTGCTTTTCCTACTATTATTTCCGAGGTGAAATTTGAATAAATCTCATCAGCGCCTCACTAATACGGAGTTGCGTCTGCACAAAATCTCTTTGTCATGTGTACAGCAGCTGCGATGAAAATAAGAGTGACAATTGTGACATATGGATGGAAAATACATTTCGCTTTAACTCAAGCAAGCTTGTGTTAGGCAGACCTGTCGGGCTTGTTTATGTCCTACTGTCTCTCCATCTCTGGATTATGTCTAACTGCTACAATGACGTGTGCGGGTGTGTACGTGCATCTACACACAGCAGCACTTTTTCAGTGAAGTAGTGCCACTGAGCTTGAAATGAAAAATCACACAGACTTTCAGACTTGGATTTTTAACAAAATGTTTTAACATGAACAAGCCAGTAACAAAAAGATGTTTGTTGTCATCATACCATCTAGATTTCAATTCTATTGACTGCTTAATGACCACCAGATGGATGTAGCGTATATCCAGATACTGTAGGCGGATGGGTGGACCAACATACACATGGACGGACTGACCGAGCGTATGCATACTGAAGATTATTCTGAAAGGCCCTTTTTTGGAGCCAAATCAATGTGGAATGCTCTTGGGCTAAAGGGATTAGGCTACTTCCATCAGTTCACTTTTTTGGTGTTAAAAAAAAAAAAAAAATTGCCGGCCAACAGCAGAGGCCTTCTTCAAACGTGCTGTGGCTCAGGCAACAAGACTTAAGCAGTTTATGCCGAAATTTCATGAAAAATCTCTTAATACAAAAGCAAACACACACAGCGATTATGTTGTTATGTCTGTCAACAAACTGATAACCTCGTTTAAGACTAATGATGTTCGCCTCTCCAAGTTGTAAGAATGCCTCTCTTGGACCCGTTCGCTTGTCAAACTACTAGCGTCATTAAACCTACAGATGATTTGTTGTATGTCACATTGCTTAAAAAAAATGTTTTTTTAAAGTGTTGTACGTTGACATTTTTTCTTCATTTTTTTAAAATAAGAGAACAAATGACTTAAGGCACGGGTGTCAAACTCAAGGTCCGAGACCAAGATCTGGCCCGCCATATCATTTTATATGGCCCGTGAAAGCAAGTTATGTGCATGTTTCTTGCTAAAATACCAAAATTGCAAATTGTCTTCGCTTTAAAAATGTTGAGGTGTTGCAAGCATTTTTTGTTACCAATCTCCCTCTTGGACAGCACAGTGGTCACCTGGTTAGCATGTACACCTCACGGTACAGAGGTCCAGGTTTCGAATGGCCTCACTTTGTGGAGTTTGCATGCTGCCGGCGTGGGTTTTTTCCGGGTACTCCGGTTTCCTCCCACATTTCAGAAACATGCACAGTAGGTTGATTGATCGCCCAAGCTTTAGAGCACCAACTCCTCTTCTCAATCATCAACATGGCCTCTCCGACATGAGAATAATGGTGACATTGTTCAAATTGCTTAGAAAGTGCGTCAGCCTACATGATGTTAACTTCCGTTGGATGTATTCTCCTTCTCTTCCTACCGTCCTTTCGAAAAAAGAAAAGAAAAAGCCGGAGTTACTCCTTTCACGTTGGCTGAAGTGAGAGCATGTTTTAATTTACCTTTTCCATGTGCCGTATTGTAATATCAGGGCCTCTCTTCAGCTTTACGGTAACTGACAAATTCTGAGTATGCAAGGCTGATCTGTCAATAATGACGTCTATTAGGATTCACCTCATTTTACTGGAGCAATTTGCTAACTGTAGGAAAGGTTAAGCGTGTTATTTCGGGTGTCTGCATTGAGTCAAATTGATTGAAGACAATTGGCCTCGCAAATGTTTGTTTTTATGAATGGCCATCATTGGAAAAGTACATGAAGTCTGTGGAGACAAATGAAGTCCTAAAAACAGCGAACGGGGAACACACATCGATAATGGAGCAGAATTTGTTGTTGACAGATACCAACGTGGATGCAAATGTCTCCGTCAAAATATGACCAATGATGAAATTGTTACGACATTCATTGATGAATAATGTATGTTTTAGGGAATAAAAAGCGTCTCCCCTGAAAATCAAGACAGTCGCACGTCTTGGAAGCAATCGAGGTGGCCATGTCCAAAACACCAGCTAATCCTCTTCCAGTCATACTCGTTATTCTTTTCGACTGCTTTATCCATATTTAAGGCTTCTTTTCATCCTGCTCTCGCTCGTTTCTTGGACAGCAATCCAAGCACGGGTCGCATGGCTGCAAAACAGGCATGATGTAACACAGACGCATCCAAACGCCTCGACGGCCATACATTTGAACTGAACTGCGATTGTTTGACCCACATCTACTATTAAAAATGAAGCATTGTGTTAAAAATGTGGATGGATGCACATAGATTAATGCAGATGAAGTAAGCAAGCTCCTGCAAAAGAGAAAAAAAAAAAAAAAAACAGCGAGCAATGGGTGGACATGTGGTAGGTTCTGACCTGATAGAGTCCCAGCTCTATGCTCTCTTCCTGCCCTGCTCGATTCAAGCTTTCCAGGGGATCAAATGGATTTTAGCAATGAATCTGTCCCCCACTTTGCCATCTCATGGCACTTGCCGTGAGAAGATCAGCTTAGGAATCAACAGTGGCCCCGCGCTGGACTGGCCATCTGGAAGCTCGAGGGTTTTGGAGGGGCTGCTCTCAAGTCTGGCTGACTTCTTTGGATCTTTTCACTATCACAAGTTTGAAAAGTAGAATGGCTCTCGGTGGAGTGAAGAGCAAGACGGGCTCTGTTCTTCATTGGTGCGCCACAGGTTTGCAGGAAATTGGTTGTGTAGTTTTTAAGGTAAAGCAGCATTGGGCTTTCACATTTGGTGGAGGTAAATTTTCACATTCATAAAAGCGCCACCCATCTAATTCAGGGTAATGTTAATCCATTGATATAAAACTGTCCCAAAATGGTGTTTACAACTAGCTCCAAGTCATCACGCCTATAACTGGTGAATATAACTGGCATAGCTAACATTAGCTCATCTGCGCTGTGACGTTATATGATAAAGCGAGATACTGTTCCGCTACATTTTGAATTTGAATCGAACAGTTAGTTTTTCTTTTTACACTGCAGTAGAAAAAAAAAAAATCTATATGCTGTTTAAAAATAAAATTGGTTGTGTTGAATGGAAGGGTTTTTATCGCAACATTTGAAAATACATTTTAGAGCTGCAATTGCAATACCGTGAGACTGTGAAATTGACAGATATTTTCCTCATATACCGTCAGAATCTGATACTGGCCTTTGCCTACTGCTTATCCTGTTCAGGGTTGCGGGGAGCTGGAGCGTATCCCATACGACTTTAGGGCGAAAGCCAGAATGCACTTAAAAAATGGTGGCTGAATTTACTTTTTTTTTTCCTCTCAAGCGGTCTCCAGATAAATTTTTGAAGATGATGTATAGTCTATTTCAAAAATATATTTGGATGCAGATGATTTTATTTCGTGCAACCATTTGACAAAATAAAATTGAGCAAATGGAGCTCTTTTTTTTTTTTTTTTTCATGAACACTCAAGAGTGGTCACCGGTTAGATTACAGGGCACATACCGCAACAAACCATTCACTCCCACATTGACAGCGTCACTGAGTCAGAACTTAACCTGCATGGAAGTCAGCTGAATTGATCACGAGTGGCGAGATGGAACATTGTGACGAATAAACACTGGAAAAAAAATACACTAGATGACCTATGCTACTACTGCAATGTCTCCTGTCCGATGTCAAACACAGATACCATGAACTTGATCTTAAAAACCTTGCGATTGGTGGTCATAAAAGTATCCGGTATGTTCTATTTAAAACACTCAAGACCAAGGTGCCACTGACCCGAGAGACTTCCAGTCACCCAACATTATAAGATGACTCACAGACCCTGTCTGAGAGAGACAAGCGATATCTCTTTTTTTTCTTTTTTTAAATGAGCAAGACGCCGGATGGTTACAGTTGACCTGGCCTGTGTGTGTGTGTGTGTGTGTGTGTGTTGGGCAGGAAAGAGGGAAGCAGCTGCCACTGGAGTTTAAACAAGCCAATACAGTGCACAGCAGCAAGAGGAAATGGGATTTTTTACACACACTTACAGTACATGATGTACCGGGTGCTCTTAATACACATGACCAAGTCAGGATGTGAGGATTCGGTATGGCGCGCGCGCACACACAACGCACGCGCACATGCACACGCACACACGCGGGAATTTCCTGCAATCAACACTTCGCTTTGCCAGTGATTTTAATCACTTCCTGTTCTGCCACAAAAGGCATTAAAAACATTCTATTAAAGCTTCAGAGTTAATTGAACACCTTTTTACAGAAAACTAATGGTAGAAGATTAAACAAAAACAAATAAAAGCACGTAACTGATCCTTTGGCGTCTCACCAAGTTCCCAGCGAGCCATTGCGTGCCACCCACACGTGTCATCTCTGTGTCTCAGTATAATTAGTTTTATTTGGTCTTCGTCAGATCACTGTCAAACCTGGCAACTACTTTGCTTTTTGAGAGGTGTCTATTCTCAGAGGCTGTACCAAAACAACTGCCTTTTTGCATTTTCTTGTTGAGGTCCCAATTACAACTTCACAGTATTCATGTTATATATTATATGTTGCTCCAATATGGTCCTGATTTTGTGGCATTTACAATGTAAATGGTTCCAAAATCCAGGTTGATTCATATAGCTCTATATCATACAAGGCCACAATTTACAAACATCAACAACATCCCCAAGTCTAGTTCCCCCCCCCCCGCCCTCTATCCGAGAGACAAAAAACTCAAGAGGGAAAAAAAAAAACAGGGAAGAGAAGTGGCAGTAAAACAGGCCAAAATTCCAGAATGTGGTTTTGGACCATGTTTCTTGTCTTTTTCAGTACTACATTTCTTTGGCTTGTTGCTGTAGCGAGATTCGAGTTTATCATTCTCCTCAGAACACAGTGCAACTCAACACAAATACGTGAGCAAAACACGAGGCAAGCAGGTTCCAATTTGAGATTGATGACTTTGAATGGGAAAGACTGAGTTCATCGTTTTCCACTGCTCAAACAACACTAACGCAATACGACATCTTCACCAGGCACAGCAACAATTTGGGATTTTTTTTTTTTCTCCCAAAGTAATTTTTCCCTGTGAGCCAGCCAAATCATTGCCCATGGTCCCACATATTTCTGGACTTTGTTACTGGTCTGTCACCTTTAAAATGGAAACTCATGTCAGTTGCGGGTCTTTTTTTTTTTAAAGCCTGTTAATTATATTCCCGCGCCAAAACCTCCTCCTGCTTCAGCAAAAGTTGAAACTTTTCTTCAAAAATAAAAGCACGCTTTTACTTTACGTGGCATCCCAAGAGACGTGCTTCACCTCCTCTTTTTGGAAAGAATTTAATTGTTGAACGCTTCGGCTCATCTGTCTTCTGGGTTTCATCTACAGTGCAACAGCCAAAAACTGAAAAAGAAGAAGTTGCTATGTGCGGAACTCCCCCAAACAGACCCCCTCCTGGGGCAGGCAGCTGTTGCGGGCTGAATACTATTATCCTACCACACCACTGGATAACTTCCCTTCCATTGCTGTCACACTTGGCACAGTGCCTCGCATCTACTGAAGTCTTTTTAGGACAGACGGGAAGTATCTGAGGATTCCTCTCTACTCGGCCACAACCAAATGCTCATCAGGTTTGGTTCTCCTCTCGACCCTTGAGAAAGGCTGTTTTAGAAAGTCAGTCGGCTCACGTATTCACCAACCCACTCTTTATCTCCAAAATCCTTGGCGTTTGCCTGAGCTATCTACCGCATCGCATAGGAGGTTTTTCTGTCAACAAAAGATTCGATACACTCCTCTGTTGCAATTTGTACTCAGATGAATATTTATTGGAAACGTCACTGGGCAGAAGGAGATTTGAGAGGGGACTGACACAGAGAAAAGAGAATACAACAGTGAAGTCAACAATAACTTTACATAGGATTTGTATTTTATTGACTGGGTCACTGAAGTAAATTACCGTTTTAAAATACTTGAATGCCACTAGCATCAACAACCACGAAAGTAAATATCCCCAAGGAACCAATTGGAGCACAACAGGTTTTCTTCAGTACGCAGTGCACCATTGTGTTTAATTTTAACACAGCTGAGACTGTCAACAGAACTCCGCTGCCCAAAAAAAAAATTTTTTTTTTCTTTTTGAAAATGTACTGTCATTTCTTGGCAGTCAAAGTCATTTCAGCAGTAATTGAGGATTTGAGGCTGGGCTAGCAGCCTTCAAACACAGTGTTTACAATCACAATCAGCAGCCACAAAAGGGACAAAACACCGGTTGTCAAGCTGCTATTAATAGCTACTTTGAAACAAAACCTCGCCAAGTAGACTCATCCATACACTGGCAGACATGCAGTAAGGGAAATACACATTCCCTGTCTACTAAGCTTATGAAATGAAATGAATAATTGAAGCATGCCAATCCTGCTAGGGATAGAGCAATTACATCGCAAGTCAGTCAGTCAGTGGCTACTTCATGGAGTCCGTCAGTAGTTCAATAATGCATTTTCAGGCTTCGGAGGGCCGCAGTCAGCGAATCCGAACAGTTACTGTCCCTACAGATAATGTCCGCTCACTTGTATTCGCATTACATGACTGCAATCATGATCTGCGTGCTTTATTTTATCAGGAATAACTGAAAGAAGCTCTTAATGAAGCAGAACCTGGCCTGTGTGTGTGTGTGTGTCTCAAAATGTTGGCACTGTGTAAAATTAGTTGGGGGGTGGGGGTTGGTGAATAAATTGTTAGCGGTATGAAATTAAGATTAAATCTTTGAAAGTGGCATTAAGCTCCTTAACGGCATTCCCTGTTGAAGTTTACAGACAGGCCAAACATAAAACTATAAATGCTTTTGAAGCCACCACATAACTTTGCCTTTGAGTCCGTTAGCTTCGTGCTAACACATCATGGGGAAACGCCTTCGACAGGATTTTTAAATTTGACGATCAACTGCAAACTTCGTCTTAGCTTTCCCCTGGATAGGCACGTTAACTCCTTCTCTGTGAGGTTATTCTATCATAAAACCAGTACTGGTTATGATCTGATAAACGGTACTGAACATCTGCTGGTGTCTGCAAGTCATTACAATCCTTGCGCAGCCTGATACTTTCTTTGAGATTAACTTCATCGGACCCTCGTGCATCAAATGCATACAAAAAAAAAAAAACATTTGTCGAGTTAACCCGTTGATGCCACTAAACGAATGGATTATTTAGAACAAGGTGAGCATTAAATTAGGCAATGGCTAGTCTAAGATGGGCTTGCCCTTCATTATTCACTTTTTTTTTTTTTTTAATTTGACACTTGTAACTCAGAAAGTCATGTAAAATAATTACCTTTTTGAAAGACCACGACCAGTTGTCAACTGCATTAGACACCAATTTTGTGGTCTTCGGTCTGCCTGGAGGTGCCATTTCTTGATCGAAGTCTGCAAGGGATAAGTTACAAGTGTTAACGGAAAATGCAACATGTTTATTGTTTACATACTAAACAGAAATAAAAATGGCAAGCATTTGAAAATCACTGTACCTCACAGCATTTTGTTTTGAAAGTTATTTTACAAAGTCCGAAGTCAGACTTCCCTTGTCGAATTGTGCGGCAGGATTCTCTTTTCCAAAATTAAGAGAAATGCACAGCAGGTGTGGGCGGAGCACAGATTACCTTTCTGCACAGTGACTTGTCACCGCTCCAATCAACCACAAGACTGGATGCTGTTTGAATCAGAATTTGCTTAACGCGGCCACGGTTGAAAAGACTGAACTTCAACACTCCCGTTTTAGCTCTGCAGTCTCTTCTATCAGTGGAAATGACTTCATGGGCCTAAACACCTTTTTTTTTAATGTCAGTGTTTCCCAGTGATAAGCGAGGGGGAGGAAAATGGCGGCGACTCATCTCTCTCCACCTGGAGAAGCACAGGTGCGATGGTGGAGCTTAATTACATCTCTTGAGAGTTTAACATTAGGTGATCAACTGTGTACACAAACACCGGCTCCGGACACCATTTAACTCTGAAAATACTAAAATGACACGACAAGAATTAAAATCCATCCATTTTCTAATCCACTTTTCTTCAAGAGGGTCGCAGGCGTGCTGGAGCCAATCCCAGATTTCTTCGGGCAGCCAATCACAGGGCACACATAGACAAACAATTCACGCTCACAATCACAGTTAGGGACAATTTGGAGTGTTCCATGAACCTGCCATGCATGTTTTTGGAATGTGGGAAGAAACCGGAGTACCCAGAGAAAACCCACGCAGGCGTGTGAAGAACATGCAAACTCCACATAGTAAGGTCGGAGCCGGAATTGAACCCTGCACCTCTACACTGTGAGGCCGACATGCCAACCAGTAGCCCGCCGTGTCGTCCTAGAGTTCAAATCAACTTGCAAACATTTAACCTAGAAATTTCAACACTCCAATATTTGCTGTGTAGTTTCTTTATTACTTTGTCCACCCCCCCCCCCCTCCAAAAAAAAAACACATTGCAAACATGATTGTGATGTTTGGTGGGAGGCTGGAACGGATAATTGGCATTTCCATTCATTTCAGTGTTTTGCGTTACAAGCGTGGTCGCAGAATGATTTAAACTCATATCAAAAAGCACCAGAATATTACTAACTTTTTTTGCTTAATTTCATTCTGGTTGCACTATTTTCCCCTCGCATATTTCTTTGTCCAATATTTCTTCGTAGAATAATTCCCAGGCAAAATGACAACCTGTTAACTTGGAACATTGCACCCATGCTACCACATCCTGGAGCAGCTTGGGTCCCCATAGGCCAGCTTGTAATGTTACGTTTTATTTGGCAAGAGCGACTTTTAAAATGGAATATCAAGTAACACACATGCAAAGGGCCATTGAGTTTTCCCACAAAGTCATCCAGCTATGAACCAAAATGTCGTCAACAAGCAATGAAGCTGTCATTTTAATTTTCACAGGCAAGTTTGATCCAAACACTCAAGACACAGCCATAAATCTGCTCAACTACTAACTTTTGACATGTTTTAACACTGACACGAGGACATAATTACCATCCATTATAATCAATGTTTTAGTTGCACACAATTTACAGTTCTGCAAAATCAAGTGGCAGTGACTGAGGCGAATTTAATGTCTTTTACTTTCTGTCCCCATTGGTCAAAGGGTGTGGGATATGCTAATTAAGGTCTTGACTGATAAAAAAAATTCCCTGGGACTCTGTGTCTCATTACGACTAACTTCACTGATTGCTGTCCAAGTCCTGCTCCTTTCGCGGCTGATAACACGAGAAGCTGTGGCAAAATGCTTATTAAAAGGAGGCATATGACCCAGCATGGTGGTGGGAACATGCCAGAAAAGCTCTAAACTTTGGGCTGCAATCAAAGCACCGGATATACTTTTTTTTTTTTCTAATTGATAATTAGCTGCACGTTAATTTGGTGCCCCGGCATCTATCGCTCTGTACAAAGAGACAACTTATCAGCCGCTTAACGGACTAAAATTGGACTCACCTTGTAGAATATGCAAGGCTGGAGGAAAATCACTTCTCTCGACTCACACGTAATTAACCTTAACAGATGCGCAGAGGAGAGGTTAGAATGTATAAAAAGCACAGGCAACTTTATGTAAAGACATCAGAGCTCGTGTATTGTTGAAAACATTTTTAATGCAAAAAATGTTATATACATGCTGTAATATAAAATGTGACCATTACAAAAATGACAGTTATATTTGTTTTCATGGATTTTACAAACAATACACTTAATAAAAATATTATTTTTCCTTCATACACTGGTTTCGGTGAGCAACAGAAGTCTTTAAAAAAAGGGACTCCTGGAATGTACCTTTAGGTTATACCACAAAAAAAAAGAACAGAGCTTGCATACAGGATGTTCGACCGTGCAACAGTATGCACTTTTCACAAAAGGTTTGCTTGTTCATTCGTGTAAAACGTGTGCTTAAAGACTGCAAGGTGACTTTTGTGAAACAATCTGCGAATCCATATTAATAAAGACATTCATAAAAAGAAAGGTGTTTAAAAACAAAAATCAGAATTATGAATTGCATATAGGTACTTTGTACAAGTTGTGTCAGAAAAGTTCCAGGACTGGAGTTACAAACAAGTGAGCACCTTGGGAAACCAGTGACCCAACTTTCGCTCAGACGACTTTTAGCTTTAATTTGCAAGCAAAAATCTGAGACGCCTGTGCTGCACTGAGCTCATCTCATCTCATACCGCCCCCTGGTGGCCAAATCGCAAAAGGAGCAGCACAATGTCCATTGAATTGAAGCAAGAAATGTGGCAGAACTGTTCTTTGCATCCTATAACGACATTACAATATATTTTTTCAATGAAGTATAATATTAAAGAGGGCTAGTTTCCTTATTAAAAAAAATGGTTGTTTTCTTGGCAGGCTGGAAAGTATGAATGGCATTTCCATTCATTTCGTTGGGGGAAGATGATTTGAGATAAGCATGGCCACGGAACAAATTCAACTCTTTATCTCAAGGCCCCACTGTATATCTGTTGTGTCCTGGAGTTTTTCTGACGCACCTGGTCAGTGACCATTGAGACTAACCACATACTTGTAATGACAGTAAAGTGACTGCATGTAACATTCACATCTCAGTGAAGTGGAGCTCCTCTTCAGTAATTTGCTATTGGATCATTTTCTCCAACACTCGTACATTCCCCACGCTCACAGTCATACTGCAATACCTTTTTTTTTCCAGTAATACCTGTAGTGAAGAGAACTATGATTAACCTTGGCGCTAAAAATGTATTCCTCCCACTGCAGAGTTACATTTCCAGGATATACTCGAAACTCTCACTCAAACTCTTCTGTGCCACATTCGTGAAATCCTGCACTGCATCTTCGAGCCACATTCTTCCTCCCCCTTGTGTATCCTTACCCTCATCCAACACCACCGTTTCATTTCTGAGCCCTCTAGTCAATTTATTCGTACCCTCTTGGTTTGGCCAAAATTGACAAGCAAAATTGCGACCAAAATGAAATGCTTCAGTGGAGTTTCATCAAAAGCAATTGAGCTGATTCTGAAATGCTTTTTTTTTTTTTTTTTTTTTGGTGCATGTATTATCCACTGACATGCTGTTCAACTAGAAAAGATGATAACACAGGTTTGAACGCTTATTTCTGTCAAGTGACTTTTTAGCAAGTGGTTAAATGGTGTGCCAACACTAAGTGGACCCTTTCGCTTGGTTCCTGTGTGTACTTGAACACATCACCAGGCCAAAAAGAGTGTGGACTGATGGGACTAAAAAAAAAAGAAAAGGGAAAAAAAAATTTCCAGTCCTCTAGCAATCCCTTTCCCCCCACTTCTACAGCCCCCAATTTTTTTGTGTACTTAATTTGTCTTATTTGATACTACAATCACCCATTCAAGTAAACAGTTGAAGAATTCTGCTGAAATCGCCTGGAGTGTGCGCGTTTATTATATGGGCCGTAAAAACAACCAAATGTATTCCATCTAACGGTTTATGTTTTGAACAGAACAGTGGTTTGGGCCTGTTTACAACAGTGGTACGTCCTGACCTTTGTCACTATTCGTCTTCAGAAAGACAAACATTTGAGTTTGATCAGTTTGTGTGTTACTTGTGTGACTAAGTGGAGTGACTGAAAGTTTTCGTAAATTATTGTATCGTCACATTAAATGAAGTGGTTAAAATCTGGATTCAAATGTGCTTAAGTGTTATATCGTTACCTTTTCAATGCCATCATTCATAAGTGCAGAAAGACAAAGTTTCAGACTTTGCCTTGCGTGTAAATGTATTCATGCCCAAAACTACGGATCCTAACGTTTTGGGTTATGACAGTATTTGGTTGTACAGTACACAATCAAATCCTGATCCTGATGATGGTGCATGACGAAACAATATTGGAGTTCATTTGTAACCAAAGTGGCGGTCCAACCAGCCGACTGACTGACTGATATTTCCCTGGTGTGAGAGCAGACATGGTTCTAAAGACACAGTTAGTGGATGTGGTTTGTTAAGGGAGGCAATTATCATGACTTCAAACAAAGCGATTTCGTGTATTGCGGCCTACAATTAACCTCCTTTGTCTAGCTTGTCGGTGGACTTCAAACAGCAGATTGTGTTTGATAGTGAGAGAAATCTGAATTCCAGCACAATGAGCTTTGATTTCTGCGACTCATTGGAGCACCGAATACAGAACTGTGTTAAAAGACTATTTTGTATTTTCTGATTGCTCTCTCTGGATGCAAATCTACACAGCTGCAGTCATGGCATTCTTTTGTCTTGGGTTGGTTTTGTGCTGATGTTGCTGTCGTCCAGTCTCTCCGGTGTAGCCATACTGTTCTGGACTGGGATCCCCAAGGTGCCTGTAGGAATAGTTTTTTTTTCTTACATAAGAATAGAGACGCCAGCATGGAATGCCGTGGCTTCATTTGTGTGTTGGGAAGTAAGATCATTTACATAACATTAGCATAAATGTAACCCAAGGCAGGAGCAGTTTAAATGAGTGGTATTCAAAATACGAGGTTCTTGAAATGAATAGAAGTGCTAACAGCTCAGCCAAAAAAATATGTATTCCTAAATTGTGCTCTCAAAAGGTGATTGTGATAATTTGATGTATCTCCAGGACAACCGCCTGAGACAGAGTACAACAAACTGATATGCAGCTACAACTTAAATAATTTGAACACTGTATTATATTCAGGCAAAATACATTAGCCAAATATTATAGACTCTGTAAAGTGAATTCAGGAATTTGTTTCTAAATACATTACTGTGTACTGGATAAAAACAACTACGGAGTACTCAATTGTGGCGATATGGCAACGTAATTTAACAGTTTTTCACCATTTCAGTTTTGTTTGTTTGTTTGTTTTTTTTTTTGCCATGTATAGTCTGCTGACATGAACATTTAAGAGTGCATTGCCGCCACCTTTAGCATGCGGCATCCACAACAAGAATTTACTTTACGGCACCAAACGGTGGTATGACCAACCGGGATTTTACAACATTTCAGGTAAGCCATTTTAAACTAAAAAGAAAACAATATCCATTGTTAGAAGCCGAAGTTTTAAATCCAACTAGAATTTGTTTGCTGCCATCAACACAATTAGGAAATGAGGATTTTGCAAAACTTGACTACTCTTCTTGGTCTCGCTTTCTGTCAAATACAAGTCCCCCACAGATGCAAATTACATATATGTTTGTTTTCTTCGTGATGCATTTTTTTGACTGGGGCTACATACTCCGGAGTGACTTTGAGTCTGAAAACTACAGTTCTTGAAGATTTTTTTTTTTTAATCATTCAAATTTGGCAAAGTTGTGTGGTGTGTCAAGTTTATAAGACATTTATTTTCACTTTACAAGGACTTTAAAGAAGCACGGACTAGCTCTATTTTATGCCAAAATGGGGTTCACTATATTTACCATCTATCAGTTGCCATTATATTATAGAACATAATGGACCATTTGGATTACAAAATGGAATATGGATTTTTATTTTGGAGGTAACCCACACTATTGCAGCATGCTATCAGCCCACTTAACCGTTCTTGATTTTTTTTTCTAAAACTTCCAAAATGTTGACAAGTACATAGGCACATGTTCACCCTCAAACTGATCTTACCTGTAAGCGCCTCCACCAGCATTTCCACGGGTCATTGTGTCGTACCGCAGTCCCCGAAGCGGTGGAGTGGGTGATGGGGGCACATCCTGTCGCAAAGGTCCTCTCTGCTGGGAGCTGAGGGCACAAAACAAGGAGTGTAACAAGTAGCTAGTGGTGTAACCTTTATGCAGGAACACCAGTTAGCCGTGGCTAAATATACAACATGCAGCTACAAAATGTGTCAGACAAGCTGTAGGACTGCTGTCATAAAAGATACATTTTAAACTCAAGCTATAAACTATATGTTTTTCCCTTTCTTGGAATATCACCCTGGACTGTATTACTGTGACATCAGATCTCTGCAGTGAACTTTTGTTCATATCCTCTCTGACAGGTTGTCGAGTAACGATCAGAGGGAGTGAAGAGGCCCATGAAAGCTGACTTGCTTGGAAGAGTCATCACCGGTGAAGAGTCATGGATCTGAGGTCCAAGACAGCAAGAGAGACAAGCGTTGATGGCATTTTGTGCTTTTTTTTTTTCCCCTCCTGCTCAAGAGGATCATCAACGAGACTGGATGGCATGGACGACATCAAGATGTCTGTGATAATGAAGGAGAGGGGAAGAATCCTGGAAGAATGCCTCCAGTTGTGAATGAAGGCAAAACAATGTGTGTTAGACTTCAGGATTATTATTCTGATATAGAAAAAAAAAATGTAGTTTGGATAGGAAATATATATTTTGTGACAGCTGTCCTGGAACGTTTCTGACACACCTTCGGTGAGCTGATTGAGGAGGACCATGAGCAGAAGAAGAATCTGTTGCATTCAATTACCTTGGGTGGGGGTAAAAACTAGAGTCAACTCCCCGAGGGTCCCCTGGCCGTGAGTAAGGTTGACTTGGGGGGTAGTTGGAGAATGATGGAGGGGACTGCAAGTTGGGGTGGGGGTAGGACGGGGCCTTGTGGTAACCTTGCGGAGCCTGGGGAACACTCATGTAATGACCTGCCCAGGGATGCATGGTGTATTCAGCTGGATCCAATGGACCTCGTCTGGAAAAGGGAACGTGACAAATGAGCGATGAGGACAACACCAACTTATCATTTCACATGTGGGTAGTTTTTTTTTTTTTTTGAAGGATCTTGCTGTACTGCAATAAATGCAGGGCAAAATTTCTAGTACGTATCTTAAGTGCAGATTCGAATACTGCTCATTGCTATATGAGAAGACCAACTTCAAAAGAATATATATCGACTTTCTCCTTAATTTGCTTTTTTGACATTTAATGTTGATTGACCACTATGCCAGCCAGTTCTGGACTGTTTTCAGCGATTTTGAGTCATGACATTCTTGGGCATTAAATATTGGTGCTTGTTTTGAACTGCTCTAATGCTTTCGTCCCTTTCTGTGTCAAGCTGGGCCGCTTGCAATACTGCAGCATTTTGGCATTTTTTTTGGGCAGAGAATGGACTCCAATGCCGCACCAGCGAAGCGCTTCGCACCAATTTGTGACTGGCCGCCGGCATACACTCTGCCAAAAATGCATTCCAGAGGATATATAGAGAGGGACGAGAGCCGGCGCTAAAATGAAGTAAAGTGAAGCTATAGAGTGGACTGAATGGAACACGTTAATTGAACAAAACCTGTGGACGTTTTACTCACCAAAGTACAAGGTGATAATTCTGAAAAACTGCAGTTGTTTGTTTACATTCAAACTCAGCTTGTAGCAAACTTGAGTGACGACGTGCGCGCTTGTGATTACAATTTCGGTATCCTGGCCAAAGACATCTAAAATGCCGGTGCCCTCATGTTGGTCAGCGAGACTTCAATGTTTGTGCTGCACTCTCTTCTACTTGCATCTTCGCACAACATATGCAACAATAGCTAATCCAACTCTAAACCTCCTGTATTCTAAATGCTACTATAAAGTGAGCTGTTGTATAATTAAATTACAAAAGCATATATATTTTTTAAATTGTCCATTATGTTAGCCCTTTGTTGACAGCTATAGTTGCTGTCAAAATGCTATAGAAATAATCTAGAAATTGTAGTGTGGTATTTACTCATGCTGCCCAGAAGCGTTGCCATAGTGTGGCTTTTGCTCAGCATCCCAGAGGTGACTCCATTGCTCCTTTAGATTACAAACTAGTTGAGAACCCGAGAATGAATCAACAGCATTTATGCCCGTGTGGGAAAAGTCAGACAATCACCGTTGCTTCAATTATTCCAGTGCATAAAGAATCAGAAGTGATTCTACTGTGTTTGTGGTGGATTGGTTCAATAAACTATTGACCGGTCGAAACACTCAAGACATTCAAGTAACATGTGACAGTTTTAAATCACCTCCGGCTCAGTTATCCCTCCCACAGACACAGTTGTTGTAATGTGGCAGACGTTGTTAATCGATATGGATGGTTTGTGCCCAGAGGAAATCAAATGCTGTACAGACATGTCCAGCATATATCTAACATTAGGGGGTCTTGCATGATTGCACGATCACTTTGTCTTCCTACATATGTTTCTCACCTCAGTTTATTTAGAAATGCGGGGGTTTGGATAGTCGTAAACTGTGCCTGTTCCTCACGTAACTCATTTCATCATTATTATTATTATTATTTTTTTTCCAGAACCAAATGTCAACTCTCCAAATGAGTGCCAAAGCAACACATAAAGGTAATTTCACATTGTTGAGTGGGCGGGTCTTGAAGACTCCGAGATCAAAGATTGATTCAAATGCAGATTGGACAATAATCATTAAACACTTTACTTACCCTGGTTCCTTTTTTTGTGGCTCACAGTTTAAGTAATCATCTTAACATTTCTCCAATACCATTTTTTTTTTGTGTGTGTGTGTGTGTGTGTGTGTATGTGTTTTTAATATATAAATATGTAGCCACAGTGATTGCTGAAAAGCCCATCCACAGTTATAGGCCTATCAGTTGTCCAGTACTACCAAATGTTTGTTTTTAGAGGGTTATGACTTTTGACAGCAGCTATGGCAGACTGCTCTCCAGAAAGTAAACCTGTACCCATATCGGTCAGGCAGTCTGTCAGCAACTGTTTGGCCTACCCATGATGATGTCACAAAGGCAGAGATAAGAGCAGTGCATAGGACCAGGACTACAAGGCAGATGTACAAGAGCATCCAACTCACATCCTACTGAGAGCACAACACAAAACACACTATTTTGCCTTCCAGTGGCTATATTTTTGCCACGACAATTCAATGATCTCACATGTTATGTGTATCTTATTAAAAAAAATACTAATACATCTACAGAATGTGAGATATCAACCACTGCCGTTTCAGATACTTTTGACAATCTTCTTGCATATTTTCCTAAATAATTCATGGCATTTCACAAACAGAAAAAAGACTCAATAATAATAACAACAATAAAACCAAAGTAGTTGCTGCAGTCTTATGAGAGTGGCCATATTGGTAATGGAGTGGAAATCCAGTTCCAATCTGTGGGGAATCAATTGCAAATCCAGTGGCAAGTTTGGAATTCTCCCACCAGGAACTCAAGTCAGGACTGCACAGCAGCTGGGGATTATGGGGTAATAATGAGAGTGGAAGCCATTACCGGCTGGTCATTACACACACATGCATGCATTCAAGCACAAGCACACAACAACGGTTGCAGTATGAGAAGCAAAACGGCAGCGTTAATGTACATAAAGAAACCTCTAATTAAACTTTCCAAGTCACACCCTCCCAACCTAAAATAATCTGAATGGCACGTGTGTGAGAAGTTAGAAGGGAACAACATCCAGAGTTTTCACAAACATAATAATCACAGTGGTGCGGGGTGTTCATGCTGGACCGATTATCCGTCAGTCGCAGGGCTGACAAAGAGATGGACAATCCTTTACTCTTCACGCCTACCTCACAAAACCACATTTCCTTACCTTTGAAGCATTGATCCTGAACCTTTGCAGAAAACGGAATTAGCGTGCTCTCACTGAATGTCTTCATCCCTCTTTTCTTTTTGCCTGTCCTATACTTCTTTCCCTCCAAGTTTTATTGTTTGAACATGTTGCATCCTTTATTTATTTTGTGTTTACAGTTGCTTTTTTTCTGTGACATTATTCTTCCAATCGAAAAGTACTTGTTTTTAATCTTCAATTTTCTACTATTTTCAAAGACTATTTTTGCACATACACATTTTGTTTATGTATACCGTTTTTGTTCGTAAAACAAAAGTCTAGCGTGAAACTCTTCAGCGTCTCAACATAGTCTGTTAGCTCTGTGGACAGCGTGTTGCTTTCAATATTAATCTCTAAAAGATAAAGGGTAACATCCATCAGTAAAGGTTAGTCAAGAGCAGCATTTAAAAATGGTGGAGGGCATCAGGGCACATTTCTCAAGCATTTTTTTGGGGGGGGGGTGCGGTTGAACAACATTTCTGAGGTCAGCACAGCTTGCGAAATGTTTCTGAAAGATTATCTGATCAATTATCCTGTGGCGTAAAATGCTTCATGAGTGATTTTCCCTTCTGAATCCGCTTAAAAACAGCAAGACCAACAAATCGTGATGTTTCACCTGTTCAATGTTTCTGCTGGCAAATCCTTATTTGTGTGCTCAACACAACACCTGACATTTGTGCTCTTGCTGGACACAACTAGAGGAGCACAACTAGAGGAGTCTTTGTGTCAAGTGTTTTCATGTGTGTCACAAGTTAATCAATGCAATAAAATGAAAAAGAGACGTGTTTGTAAGTGCAATGTTGAGATGACGTAAGCTAACGTTCTTCAATTACTTTTTTCTTCTTCGGATTATGTGGCAGTCTGGATGACCTACGGCACAATAGTGCCTCTCACAGGTCAGTGTCTGTACTATGGCTGTGGGAGGAAGTTGGGGTTTTTGAAGCTCTAAAAGTTGTGAAGAAATACGTTCAGTTATTTATTTATTTTTGAAACACATCTACAAAAGCAGCAACTACCAAAACTACATATCGAGATGGGGAAACCATTGGTTGAAGAGTTGAAGGGATCAATGCTAATACAGCTCGCTAAGCCGTGGACTCAGACAGTGTTTTGCAGTAACGTGAGACTTTCTAATTTTGGGGGATTTCAGGTTTGCGATGGATTTGAGAGTAAACACAGGAGTTGTTATGTTGTATAACCTCAGCACCCCCCCCCCCCCACACACACACACACTCTTTCACTTACTCTTGTAAAAGTGCTGTATGCAGCTGCTACCCCCCATGTATACCCATGGGTGCTCTCACAGGTGCATGCACAAACATCGTTCTTCTGAAACGGTCTTCCACCAAACACACATTCGTTTCGCGAAAGTAGATATAAAGAATATGGAGTGAGTTGATTAAAAAACAAAAAAACCTGTTATGCCTCAAAATGAGTAAAGAGAAGGAAAATGGTAAAACGGTAGAGGTTGGAGGGAAGGAAAATGGAGTGTGAATGAGAGCGAGCTAAAAAGTAATACTACAAAAAAAAATAGAAGCAATGGTAAAAGAAAATGTGTTTGCTGTTCTCATGTTATTTCTTGTAATAAAGATGGCTCCTGTGATATAATGTCGCAACAGTCACTTTCCTAATCCAGCACTCTAGTGTTTAAAAACCCAGAGGCATCACAGTCCAAATAGAATGGCGATAAAAATCTACTTTGTTATCTCCTGCTCATCACTGCTACATTTAGTATAACATAAATCCCTTTACGGCGTGTGCTGTGATGGTAGTAGAGCAAAAGTACGCGCATACAGAATGCAATTTAAAGTAATTCAAAGTATTTTTTTTTTTTCTTCCCCAGACACACTGGCCAGACAACATCACAGAAAGAAGCGGCTTCCAGTATGATTGACAGTTGCCTTTGTTGACTAAACTAAACCACACTAAGCCCCCGTGTGAAAACCCTGGCCAGGTATGGAATTAGGAATCTTGGTCCGTATGTGTGAGTTGTGACAAAACCTAATCTCAGCGAGTGAAAAAAAACATTACGGGTGACACCTGAAGCAGCAGAGATAGGCAGAAGCCAAATAAGACATGAAGCTATTTTGCTACTTATGGCTAAGTGATTGCACACTGAGTG